GCGGACTGCACACATAAACACTTTTTGCAATTCACGGCCAATGTGCCATAATAAGATATCCCTATCGACAGTTGACATTTTACCATCTTCGCGATCACTACTTTTGCCTGATAATTAACTTAACTTCGCTACCCCGTATATTATAGTGTGTGTGTGTGTCGCCGTCAGCTCCCTGTTGGATTATAACATCTCTAGGTGTCCAGCAGGTTGTATTATCCATTTAATATTTCAATTGCTTAATAAATATTTATTTATATCGTTGTTAACCTAAAGTGTTATATATATATATTGTAGTGCGACCCTTGGTAGTTCCTCTAAGGGAATATAAATTAAATAGGAAACTTCAGTACCTAAGGTAGATATAGCCTAGCCAGCTATCCCCCGTTGGTCCCTTAGAATACTGTCGACGGGCATTTAGGCTAAACCCCTAAATAGCGACGTAACAGGTCGTATCACACATGGTTCGTCATATATGATGAAATATTCGTAAATATGCTAATTTCGGCAATTTTACAAAATATTATGTATTTTGACATTTTTCTAGAAAACTAATGGATTTAAAAGAAAAACTGTAAGGACTTATTTTATATAAAACAGTTAGATATACAATTTAGTTTCAACATTTTTTTTTGTGAGAGCGCTAATTTACGAGTTAATTGCTAAAAACTAATAAAGTACCCCTTTTGGCCGATTTTCAACCCCAAGTCGGCACGGGTTAAACTCATCTGATCGGCCTGAAATTTTTTGTAGCCACTTTTTATATGTATACACACAAATTTGGGGGGTGAGCCCGAAGAATTTCCAAAATTTTCAAAATAAGGGACACCCTAATATATATATATATATATATATAGACGAAAAGAAATAAGCTGGCACTCTTTGTCACGCTATAAAATATTAATTATTTCCCTTTCATTCGATATAAATTTTATGATAATCAGACCCTTTAGCTGCAGAGTGCTACCCACAGGGGCGATTCAAAATAGCAACTTTTTTAACTTAACTTTTGAAAATATTTTGGAAATACTACGAGCTTTAAACATATGTTAAAATAAAGCTTATTGTACGTACTATAAGTTAAAAAAAAATAAGTAGTTCTCGATGACTTATCTTCTATGTACATTTATTGCCGGAGTTAAAAACATGCAATTATTTTGTGTAAAATTTTCATATATTATTTTTTCAACTTTACATAGCTAATTCATTTTAATCACTACCAAAAATCATCTATACTTTTCACAACTATGCTACGTCTACACTGTACCGCGACCTCATTGGACTACGGTTTCTTTATTTGTTTTTAATAATACAAATAATTAAAAAAACTTTAAATTTTAAAACATTCGTTTTTAAAGTTTTCTTAGAAAATAATTCAAATAAAAAATTAATACAAGTATTTGCAGAAGAGTAAGAAGAATTTTAATTCATACCTACAATATCTATTTATAACACCATATGCAATTTTCCTAAAGTTTGTATCGACCCATCATACATTTTTGTGAGATAGAGGTTAAAAAATTATTAAATATAAATAGAATAAAATTATAACGTAGTTTAAGAATGCAAAAATTATTTTAATAAAGTAACACAAAAATATATATTAGATCAAAAATAAATTTTCATATTATTATCAACTACATTGTGTATACGTATAACTAAAATTTAATTAGTCTATTATTTTAAATCATTTGGTGTGACTGATAAAACATATCAACATCAATGCATAAATAAGCTGATTACTATTTTTTTTAGAAAACAAATATGTCATTTATAGCAATATTGGCGTATTTCTTAATATAATCAGCAGGTAATATAAACACGATGCGTTTCTATTCATTTGGGAGTAATTGGTTAAATTAAATATTATTTGTTCAGTGTTTTTGTCGTGATCTCTGGATAATAATTTAATAAAATAAGTTTTTCAATAAAAATAAAAGTCAACAATACAATTAATTTGTTAAATAAATTATAATTATTATTGATATTTTTATTAGGAGTTTTTTCAAGTTCTAGTAAGTTATAGTTATAAATAAAATTTTTGTAAGCAAATTCAGCTTTCTACGATACTATTTTACTTAAAATTTAGATTTAGATTTAAAAAAATTATAATTATTTAAAAATCCAAAGTTCTTTTGATTTATCTTGTGACCTATTGCCTTTACGAAAAAATTTATTTTAGACATCCTTTATACAGTAATTAATTTTGTTCATTTTACAGGCAATCCTTTAATTTCAAGTAATTACCTAATAAAATAAATAGTTATTCTTTTTAACCTTAATTTTAATTTTATTATTTGTTTATTCAAACTATAACTAACTAATTTACTCCTTACCCGTGATCTCAGAAAAAAGAAAATTTAAGGAAACTCGAAAATTCTATATGCATTAAAACTTATGCATTTTTCACCAAAATAAATGTAGTAACTCAATGAGAAAACTATGTAAAATAAAGCTGTTGTGTTGGGTTACTGTTTATTTTTTACAATAATAATGTCTTTTAGACCGTGAGTTCAAGGGTTTGTTAAATAGATAAAAAATTTTGAAAAAAATTAATTAATCTTTATTTATTAATATAAAACCATTGTGATTAATTATCATTTTCTCTAACATCAATATCAAGACTTGTACCAGTAGTTACCTACTGGGGTGTAATAGTGAAATAATATAAGTAGGGGGTTTTAGAAAGGTGAGAAAACAATAGTTGAACATAAAGTTCAATAAGAGTAATGTTCCAAAAATTAAAAAGTCTTAAAGGTTTAAGACAAAATTTAAAAATAGATTGATCTCGGGGATTGAACAATATTGCATAAAAGATATTATCTTGTTTTAATAAATAAGATAAAATCTTGTTTTGGCCATGCCAAAACAAGATTTAAAAATATTTATATTAATGTAAAAATTATATCGAGGCCACATACAATACCAGTAAGAAAAACTTATAATAAACATATAAAATTGGGTTGGGTTTGTTATAAATATAATATAATTTAAACATTTTTGAGGTTTTAGATGTTAAATGATATTTAATTCCGTGAAAAAAAACATTATTATTAAATTAACAAGTAAACTTAAAATAAAGTATACAACCAAAATAAAATTATTTTTAAATTTATTCTAAGTTACGTTTAATTTGAAAAATATTTTAAGTATATATATCTCCAAATTACTATGTTACTCATTTTTTATTGATAATTTAAATTTAACATGTGAAGGATTGAACAGGTTTAATCAAATGATTAAACTTGTACTATTTGATACAATTATTATTTCCTTTTGATTTTTTTAAAATCATTTTTGTATTTTTAAGCCTATTTTATTTTTACAAAATTCATTTCCTGTGTTTAGTACTTTCTTTACAAAAATGATTAATGAATCGATAACAATTTTATGGCATATTCTTATTGAGCTACAAGTATATTATTTGATGATGTATTGGTTTTGTAGCACGATTAGATTCGTACTGAAGTATTTATGAAGCATACTTTATACTCATTAAATACGTAAATCTATAAAAAAATGATAGTAATTCAATGAGTACCTTTTCATAAAATTTTGTCGATCCATCAAAAATTTCAATAAGAAAAGCATTGAAATAATATAATGTAAATTAAAAATAGAAATTATTTTATTATAAGTAATAAATAATATAAAATTTGGTTAATTGGAAGTCATTTCGTAGAAGGTACTTATTAATTTTTAGGAAAATTAAAAAAAAATAATAATTGAATCATGAATTATGAGTTACCGTTTAGTTCTGAGAAATTCTGTATAGAGGGCATTTGGTACAGTATTTCATCACTTTCTCGCAGATGGAGGTGGTTTTAAGATTTATAAAATTAACAAATATTAGACCTTTTGTAAAATTATTAATTTTTTTTTATTACTATTACAAAATTTCATGCAATATTTTAAGTAAATCTATAAAAATTAATAACTATAATTATAGTATTTACAGCAGAAGAAATAGAATGTGAATTTGTTTTTTTCGATAAATCTTTTCAAAGGAATGCATCAAGTATATCACGTTTTTACATAAAATAAATTTGATGCAATTATGAGATATAAGGGAGGAGTTAATCAGTTTTTTAATAATAACTTAATCAAGATAAATAAAAATAAAAAATACTAAAAAGAATTTGCTTAATATAATTATTATTATAAAATAAATAAAATGGCTAATATTAAAGGATCACTAAATTTACAACAATTTTATAACTCTTTTATAATTTCAAAGTTAAAATTACAATGCTTGATTAATAAATACCAAATTTATACAAAATTTAATTATTATAGTAGGTATTTATTCGAGTTATATACTTATAAAACATAAAACGTGTTATCAGGATATAAATAAAGAGGTAGGAGATCATTAATTTTTGTAACAATCCTCCAAATTTTTAATATTAAATTCTATCTACAGATTTGCATCGAAGCGTTTTTAATCTCTATTATATATATAGTTATCCATGTGAGAAACACAGACTCTCCGTATTTTTAAAAAGGATGAGTTGTGAGTTGCCTCTTAGTTCTGAGACATTCTATAAATAGGTCATATGGTACAGTATTTTATCACTATCTCGCAGGCATTTATATTTATAAAATTAACAAATATTAGACCTTTTGTAAAATCAAAAATTTGTTTTATTACTATTATAAAATTGTATGCAATACATTATGTAAATCTATTAAAAATAAATAACTATAATTACAATATTTACAGCCGGAGAAATAGAAGGTTTGTGTATTTTATCTCTATCTCGCAAGTGAATGTGGCTTTTATATTTATAAATTTAACAAATATTAAGTCTTTAGTAAAATCATTAAATACGTTTTATCATTATTATAAAATTGTACAACGAATTCTAAAAGTATTTTTCATTGCATAATATTAAAATTATCTAGTAAAAAAATAGCATGCAACATTTTAAGTAAATCTCTTAAAAATAAATAATTATAATTACATTATTTACAGCAGGAGAAATAGAAGGTGAGTTTGTTTTGTTCAATTATTTTTTTAAAGAAAAGCAAAAAGTATTTTTCGTATACATATTTTGTGCTAAATAAATGTTACGAAAATTATTAATATTACAGAATATTATTCACCATGTGACTTAAGTGATGGTATGTTTATTATTTCATCAAAACTACTAAATGTATAACATATGAACTATGATATAAACATGTACGAAAAAATATTATTTATCCACAAGCATAAAACCAATGTGTTTTAGGGTGACGTTAGATAATATTCATTTTTACGATAAGAGTTGTTCTTTTTTTAGTAATATACTGAAAACTAAAGTTAAACAGAAAACTAACAACCCACTCCTTGAGTTAAACTCTCAACCTATATATGACATGTGTTGGTATTGAGAAACATTGAACAAATTAAAAAAAACTCATTTTTTAATGCTTTAATGTTTTTTTTAATAATTTAAGAGGCGAGAAAAAAGAATTTTAAAAAATGTATTCCATATCTAAGGATCACCCTAAAGGGTCATTAAAAATTGAGATCATTGTATTTTCAAATAAATCTGTAGTAAATGTTTATTCGAATGTTTGTGGATAATTCATGTTTTTTGTTTTTCTGTATGAAGCTTACACGAATAAGCAGATTTTCCGACGTGACACAAAATATCATTGTCCCTATGAGAAGCACAGATTCTCCTTATTTTTAATAAGGATCCTTCTTATAATCAAATAATTATTAGTACATTATATTACAGGAGAAGAGTTAGAAGGTGAGTGTGTTTTCTTCAATATACATTTTTAAAGAAATTCATAAAGTAGTATATATTTTTATGCTTAACAAATGTTATAAAAATTATTACAATTACAGAATATTATTCACCTTGGAACTTTAGTGACGGTATGTCTATTATTCTATATATTATTAAAAAATATAATATCATATTAAAATCGATACGAAAAACTAAAAATGATATCATATCAATATTACTGAATATAACATAGTTGATAATGTAAAACAATACTTATTAAAACATAAATATATATATTTAAACATTATATTTAATGAATATTAAAGGGGAAAATGTTACAGTAGAAGAGTTAGAAGGTGAGTGTGTTTTATATATTGTGTTTTCTTCAATATATATTTTTAAAGAAATTAATAAAGTATTTTACATTTAAAATTTTTTATGCTTAATAAATGTTATGAAAAATGTTACAATTATAGCATATTATTCTTCATGGAACGATAGTGACAGTATATCATTATTCTATATATTATTCAAAAGATTAACAAAAAATGATATCATAACAATTGATATATATTATTACTGAATGTAATATTATTAACAATATATAACAATACTTTTTGAAACATAAATGTATATTTCCAAACATTATACTTTATAAATATTAGAGGTACAAATTAAATAACGTTTAAGTTTTAAACGAAAAAATGTAATAACATTGTAATGTCAAAATGATGTTTAAATCTTGAACAAAGTAAAGTTCAATTCAAATATAACTTATAGTCTATTTATACGGCAATACATTTTAAATCTTCAATGCGAAGCTGAGACCTTCTCAGCTTGGAATCTTAATTTTACTATGATGTGTTTTTTTTAATGTCTGTCACCACTTTTTTAGCTATCACCGGACCGATTTCTTTCAACTTCGTTATTTTTTATTTTTTAACTACATTTGCGTGTACTAGTACTAGTCCAAATTGTTCAAATTTTTTTGGTAACATGTTACTCTATAAATCATTTCTAAAAAACTAATTTTGGGTTTCGCATAAATTTAACAAAGGATTTTTATAATTATAATCAAATTTTATTATAAATTTAACTGAGTACATTTTTTTATCAACTTTTTGATCGTTCTTTAGTTTTGATGCGAATTTAAGAAAAATTCTCAGCTCTCACTGGACTACTTTTAATGTTGACTATGTCTAAAGTACACGATTTTAATCTTGTTGAAATTAATCACCAAATATTGAAAAATAACCCTTAATTTTAGAAACTTAGGCAAACAACAATTGTAAAAAATGGCAATTTAAAAAAAAAAAACTTTTTTTAATTAAATATTTCTTCAAATAATAAGCGAATAAAATTCATTTTTATACAAAATTACACAGTAAAATCATATCACTAAAGTGAAACGTATTTAAATCAGCATAGACTAAAATATATTTTGCTAAACCACGTTATTGCGCTAATTTTAAATTTGCAATTAGATTTTTTCCATCTCCTCTTTTTTTGAGATTATTACTACAATTATTACTAAAAAAAAGTATCTTGCAAGATGTTTTATGAATATATTAAAAAAATGCAAAAGTCAATCCGCTTCACATGATTTGAACCTTGTATATCGAATGCTAGAATCATATGTGTAACGAACTGACCCATAGGTTACTACGACTATGGGGTGATGAAAAATAGCAACAAGGGTTTTTTTACTGTCCCTGACTTGCCTAGCTTCATTGATATGGTTAGTTCAATTGATATCAATTAGAGATAACGGTTGTTTACTTATTAATGGATTTTGTAACAAGTATATAATAAGTAACACATAAATATAATTATACTAGATATCAATAACATCCAAAGGAGTAACTAAAGGGGATGGATTGCCTCTCTTAAGTTACGTCAGTTAGCCAACATGATATATATTTTTAATTTTTAAAAAATTATATTGATAATATATCCTACAAATATTTCGAGATAAATATTCTATATTTAATCTAATTAATATCTTTTTATAAACAAATATTTAAAAAGATATTTTTTAAGAACATTGTAGAAATATTTTTAGTGTTATATTCTCAAAATATACATAAACAAATATTTCATAAATTATTTTGTAAGAATATTTTGACAATATTAATATATACTATTTTTTTTAGTATTTAAATGTTGATTTCTTATGAAAGTTTATAATATGAACTTAAATATGAAACTTTAAATTTTTATTAGTTTACCTTATAAGTTTGAAATAAAATAAAAAATTATATGGCGATTTAAAAATTGGTTTTGTTTAGATTAATATATGTTCAGGGATTTAATATGTAATAGTAAACATATAAAACAATCACTATTATAATTTTATTATCTTATTATTTTTGTAATTATATCGTATTGAATCTTTTCAATAGAAATACTAATAATTTCTATGAAACTTTTTTGTTTAAATAAATAATTCAATTGAAATATTCAGAATTATATTCCGTATAATTATATCATTTAGTATTCTATAATATACTAATATTCAGAAATATTTTGTGTCTGGTTTATTTATGATTTCGTCCGTAATTGTGTTATTTAATTTCATTTTAATGTAGGGTTTTTGATTATTTTTTTATTCGTTATACTCATTTTTAACTAATTAGTTAAATAATATCAAAAATCAGTGGTACTAAAAAAAATCTAATTGTAGATTTGAAATCAGCGCAATAAATGATCATTAAGAGTATATTTTTTATTCTAATGTTCATTCCTTGTAGACCATTTATTCAAAATTAAAAACAAATTATTTTCTGAGCATTTTTGTATTCAGCCCTTCAATTTTTGAAACACGTTTGTTATAAAAGTAAAAACAACTTTATAATTTTTTATAATTTCTCCATTAAAATTACAATATTAAATTATTGAATATCAATTTGCTCTAAATTTAATTTACACTATAAAAATTTATTCATTTATAATTTTTATAAATCAAAGAATTACTACTAATCAGGAATAATGAAGGAAGTAGGAATTCATGTTGCTTCTGGAATAATCATTCAATTTTTTTAAATTAAACACTATCTAAAGGTTTGCACAGAAACCTTTCTTATGATAGACATTTCTATCACTATTAGATATCATTTATACTTGTCTCAACTATGCCACGTCCACACTGTGCTGCAATCTTACTGTACTGCCCTATTATTTTATTTATTATGAGTTATTACCGAGGTTTAAAATAAGTTTTCTAAAAACTATTTAAAATTGATTTTTTCCATTTTTTTTTTTTTTATGAAATTGATACCAAAAACCCATACAACACCAAACCGGTTTCTAAAATTGAAACCAACCATTTATCTGTTCATGCATTAGTGTACAAAATGTATATGTAAATAATCTTTGTTATCGTAAAATTCTCTCGCGTCTCTCATTGTAAAATTTTCCCTTCACTTCTCGTGTGTTTGTCATCTGTTATTGTAAATAGTTAATTTTAAGTGTTTGTGTTTTTCTGTTAATCGTTTTTTCGGCAACTATTGCTTTTATAATTATTATGTGTATGATAAATTGTTTTGTCATTACTTTTCTTTCGTTGATATTCGGCAACTGAAGCCAGCTGGTTCTTTTTTTTTGATTGTGCAAAATAAATTTACTTTTATTTGTAAATGCAATTTAATTATTGTAATAATATTATTTGTTTTAATCAAAACCAAAAGTATTACATTCTTATTGGTGAACAGAAAAGTGTTGATCTTTTGGCGAAATAATCGCCTTCATCCGACAGGTAACTAACCACATTAATGTATAACATTAATAGTTATTTGCCAAATTAATTAAACACGAGTTTAAAATATAAACATTTATCAAAGTCTAATTCTGAACTAAAACAGAAAACGGTTATGTTTTTAAACAGGCTATGAATCCTATACTCTAAACAAGAATCAAACCGTAAAAAAATCGTAGAGTTTTAATGCCTAATTATTACATTTTTCGTAATTAAATTTACATTTACTAGATCAAATTAAATTATATTTGTTTTTGTATGTTTAACGTGAATCCTCAGATGTATTATTAGATTAAATATTAACTAATAATCATTTATATTATAGACATGGAAAACGGTAAGTTATATAAATATAGATATATCATACATTTTAATATATATTATTTATATTTAAATTCTCTCTATATTTTTATTAGAAATGACATTTGTATAATTTACCCTTATTTTTATCTTTATTAAATAAGTATATTTTATTAAGTCATTGACAACCAATATTTTTTTGAGCTTCTTCTGGCCTGGCTAAAACAAGATTCAAACATATTTATATTTATTAGACATTTTATTAAAGCAGTAAGGTAGTGTCATAATAATCACTAAGTCAAAAATTAAAAACTAAAAATATCTTAGTCTAAAAGTTAAGCTAAAAAAGTCTCAGAAAATAGTGTCTTGAGTATATATTTTGTGTATTTTAAAATTACCAATAGAACTGGATTTAATAATAAACAATGGGTTTTTATAGTCGGAGGAGGAAAGTCTTTTTCCAATTTGTCGTATAATTTAAATATAATTCATAAATATATATTTTCCATATCTTTTACGTGTTACTGTCGGTCAATGCATTGAACATATTGCGCTGTCAACCTGAGTAAATAAACATGACATTGATTGCGTTTACACAAAGATATGTGTAATTTGTATATTTATAAAACTCCTTAAGTTATTTTTTGCGGATTGGGGGTAAGAATACTTCCATGGACCCTCTGCCTGTTGTAAGATTTTGCATCCAGTAAAATTTTAGAAATAGTATGAGAAGTTCCGACCAAACTTAGGTGGATTGCCCCATCCCAACCGATGTACGCGGGGACAACAGGTGAGAGGAAATAAAGTAGTTAGAGATGGAGAAGACCAAAGAATAATGAGTTTGACACCAGCCGTACAACTTATGCGATAGCTGTTTCACCAGTCATGTGTACAGGTCTACCCAACACTTGTAGTGTTAACGATGTAGGGACATGACCACTTAACTCTAGACTGGACTCGCGTATAAAAGAGAAAGATACATACAAAGTAAAATTAGATACTTGGAATGTTGGAACATTAACTGGTAGAACTAGAGAATTAGTAGAACTAATGAAGAAGAGAAAAGTTAATATTTGCTTTATGCAAGAAACTAAGTGGAGAGAGAAAGCAAGGGAAATTGTTTAGAATTATAAAATAATATATTCAGGTAATATAAATATAAAAATTGGCGTAGGAATAATAATTAATAGAACATGAAAAGTAAAGTAGTAAAAGTAGTGACAGAATTATAATCTTAAAATTAATTCCAGGGGATAACGTGTTGGGTTGAATGTAAGTGCATATGAACCACAAGAAAGATGGGATTAAATAAACATCTCTTTTGGAGAGAGATAGATGAGGAATGAGATAGGTAATGAGATAGGTAATGAGAATGTGATAATGACTAGAGATATGAAAGGACATGATATAATGGAGGATATGTATGATGACACCACTGTAAAAAGTGTGGATGGACTAAGAGAATATTTTGAAATTACTAAAGAGATACAAGAAAAGGTACCGTACTGCGTGTTATTCACTGACACTTGTAGTGACAATAGGATAAAAATAGGGAAGAAGATAATCAAAGGATATTGGTGTGGAGATCAACTGTTAAAAAAAAGAGTTTATGACTATACAGGAGTAAGAGTATATAGAGTACGAGTTTGACAAAGTTGATCGCGAGATAGGTGAAATAAAGAGTTCAGTTGTAATAAGCGAAAACGTGATAGAAGAGATGGAAAGTTTCATGTATTTAGGATTAGTTGTCCAAAATAACGGTGGTATTGACGAAGATATATGTAACAGGTTAAAGCCCGGGTGGTTGAAGTGGAAATAAGCGTCTAGACTGTTATGCGATAAAAAATTTCAATGAGACTGAAAGTACTATTAGACTGTAGTGAGACAAGCTATGATGTATGGTTTATAGTGTTGGGCGATTGACAATAGAATAGAGCAGAGAATAAGTGTAGCAGAGAAGAGAATGCTTAGATAAATGACTGCAGTGACTAGAAAAGATAGGATAAAGAATGAACATATAAAATGAAGCATAGGTGTAGCGTCAAATGTGAATAAGATGAGAAAAATAGACTTAGATTATTTGTTCACGTGATGAGGAGATAAGAATCAGAAGCTGTAAGAACAGTTATAAAAATGAATGTTAAATGAAGAAGAGGTATAGCAATACCAAAAAAGAGATGAAGAGATGTTATTGAATGTAATACGAGGACGTCTGATGTGAGTGTAAATAATGTGGAAGATCGTATTAAGTGAAAGTTTAGTATATGGGTGGATGACCCCAAGCAGTTAGGATTAAGGCGAGGAAATAGAAGTAGAAGATATAACGCTATTAGTGATGGCCAGGGACAAAAATGTTAAGATTGACAAGTATTATTAATAATATAAATTATTAAATTTTCATAAAAAAAATGTGTTACAATTATTTGATTAAATTCCCGTTTTTGTCAGAAATTTCTAGTAGGCGAACAACTTTAAATTTTAAATAAAAAATTCCAATTTAAAAATAACTATTAAATAGTTTTTATTGTTATACATTGGTGATTTAGGTAATTTTTAGAGAGAATTCAAGTGCTCAGTATGGGTTTCAAAGGTTTAAAACAATATTCATACTGTTTTCTGTTTCATTTATCAAGATTTTAATACTTAATAATGTATCAAAATCTTAACTTTTTTCCCGCGAATATAAATAATTATAAACATACAATGTTTTGTGGTCCCACAGATTTCATTATTGTCTTCCATTTTTTTACATCTTCTAAAAATGAATGTTTTTTTTACTTATTTCAGTTTTTATAGACCTATATAAGTTTTATAAAAGTATTCAATATAGAATGCTGAACATTTAATTAAAATCCTGAAAATAAATTGTTGCTATAATTTGTATTATTTATTTTTAAAAAGCTTCAAAAAAACCTGTTTCACAAAATTAAAATTTTTAAAAATGATAAGAATCTAATGATTTTAATATCACAATGAGTAGGTATATTATGTATACCTCTGTTTCTTCTTCTTTTTTATCTCTAGTATTAACATAACTAATTTCTACATCAATAAATTTAAGTTCATAAGATTTTAATCAATTTACTAGAAGGCATTATTTATTTCCTCAACTAATTAATTTTTTTTTAGTTTGCGGAATTTGCGAAAATGTTTCTTTATTTTTTACCATCGTTATCGCATTAATCTATTTAATTGAATTTTTGCATGAAATAGTTTCTTCATGATATGACAAAACTAAAATTACATATTATATAATTTTTCTGTTTCAACATGATAAGAGAAAAATGGCTATGAAACATACTTGTCTGGTAGTTTTAATACTGTTCTATTACATAGTTTTATTTAATAATCATTTTATTGTTGAATTTCTGTTTCGATATTAATTGGTTCTTGTTTATCTTCTTGATTGTTTTTTTCATAATCAACAAACACTGTTTCTTTTTTGAGTTATTTCATTGTTAAAATCAATACTTCTAAATACAATAATATTTGTAATACCTGAAAATCGTTCGCTGTATCATTTTATGTTATTAGAATAACCAACAAGTATACATTTTTCGCTCTTAACATCTCATTTTTTTCTCTTTTTTTTTTTGGAATATGAACAAAGACAACTATTCCAAATATTCTCAAATGTCTTATGTTTATTTTTTGTTAAAATAAAGTTCATATAGTGTTTTATTTTTAATTGAATTCCTACCTGTTAAATTTAGTGTATGAACTACTGTATTCACACTTTCTGCCTAAAATGAATTATCCAACATTTTGAATGAATTAATGTTCTTGCAGCTTGAACTTTTGTTATTTTATGATGTTCTACTTAACCATTTTGTTTTGGAGTGTATGGAATTGTTGTTTAATGAATTATTCCATATTTCTGTAAAATACTTTTTACTTCATTATGTATAAGTTCTAATCGGTTATCACTGCCAATACTTTAACTTTAAACTTTTCACTTGAATTGGATTATCTAATTTTTCATAATTTTAGAACCATTCATTTTTTAATTTTCATTCAAAACCATTTTTGCCCATAAACATTTAACAGTTTTTCCAGCATTTAATAAGCGTTTTCACAATTAACTAAATATTACATCTTCTTTCTTCACTGAAGTTAAAATAATTTTTTATTATAACTATTTTTGACGTCCTAAAAGTATCACTGGTGATCTGGGTCCATTACCTGTTATAAGAGGATTATATTTTGGTTCGACGAAAGATAAATTACAACACAATTAGTTACTATAAAATAATAAGTAATATTTCACTCTAAAACATATACTAATGTATAAATAAAACTAAGTTCTAACAATGTAAGTACTTATTCATAAGTGCATTATTAGCATAACGTAAAAATAATACATATAACAAATTATTCATTAAATTTTCAACAGTTTTGTAGTACATAATTAAACAACATTTCTTTTTTCTTAGTGTGTCTTGCATGTAAATCGGTTATTTCCGATGTTGGGAAAATGTATGAGACAAAATGTTGTAAAAAAATATTATGTTACAATTGCTTTTTGCATAATAATAAAGAAAACTTTCTTAAAAGATGTCCTTTTTGCTACATGCTTACAAAAAAAGGTAATAATATTTTAGTTGTAACTGTAATACATACTATTTTATTTTCAAATAGTGTTGGAAATGATAAAGTATTAAATATGTAATGAATATTATTAAATTTAATATCAATTGTATTGTAAATAATTCTTTCAAAAATTAGTGTTTAGGAGTAACATTCGAAAGTTAAATGAGAACTTTTATTTTATTATTAAATAGAAAATGGTATAAATATAACGTACTGTTCGAAAACGAGTTTCCTTTATTATTGTTTGACATATTAGCATTAAACGATACAGAAAATGTGAGCAGATGAACATTATTTAGCAACGTCAGTTTTTATCGTAACGTACAGATAAGCATGTGTCTATTTGTGCACCCCGCACTTATGCAAGTAAAAATTATAATTGAAAGATTACAAATATCAAAATAAAATAATCAAGTGAATTGGCCACAACGGAAAATTTGTAACTTTCATGGCGTCTTGAAAAATATTAAAAAAGGGTTACCAACCCACTGAGCGAGACAATGTACTGTCGAACCACAGTAGGATTTAAAATAAAAAATAAAAAATTGTACATTGATAGCAATTTAAAAAAGAAAAATAATAAAAAAAGTTGTATTTGATCTCTGTTGAGTCGTTGATAGTAGATGTACACCACAACNAAAATAATAAAAAAAGTTGTATTTGATCTCTGTTGAGTCGTTGATAGTAGATGTACACCACAACCTGGTGATAGTTGTCACATAATCAAGATGATCAGAAATGACCTTATACAAGGCTGTTGGCCGTACCTCATAAACTAGGAGTTGATTTTTGAAAAGGGAAAAAAAATACCAAAAATCATTGAAGATGGAACACGAAAAAAAAATAAGATGACAGTTAAGTTAAATGAAGGGGACTTTATTAAAATTAAAAATAAAATTAAGTTAATACAAGGCAAAAACCGAACGGTCAAAAAATCTCTTCTACAAAGTAAAGGGGAACAGAGAGAAAAACAAACAGATATTAATAAAAAAAAAAGTTATACCTACACTTTTACAATTAGAGAATACGATGAACTTCGTTAAATTCACTGAAAAAATGAAACTGGTAAAATTTGAGTACAATAAGTCAACCTCTTCAGGTGCCTCAAAGGGGTTGAAGTTCTTCAAAAATGGGGTGGATTTTCTTTTTTTGAGTGTACGCTCATTATTTTTGAAGTTTCGTCAAAAACACAAAGAACAATTTTTATAGAAATTAATGTGAACAAAAAGTAAGGTAATATATTATTTTTTTGTAAAATTAATATTTTTTCGTAAAAATAAAAAAATTATTTCACTTAATTTAAAAAAAAAAAGATTAAGTTTTCAGTTATACTTTTCCAGTGTCTTACATTTTAATTGTACACAGAAATTGCACAAAAGTAATATTAATCACCGTGATATCTTCTATAAAAAAGATTATTTGAGTTTATTTCGAATTATGAATCCTTTCCAAATGAAAATTTAAAACAACTACGAAAACATGTTTTTTTTTGCATGTATGTTTTTTTTTTCATAAATTAACAAATATTCTTAGTTATATTAAATAAAAAAAAAAAAATAAGAAGCACAATAAAATAATNTTTTTATTTAATATAACTAAGAATATTTGTTAATTTATGAAAAAAAAAACATACATGCAAAAAAAAACATGTTTTCGTAGTTGTTTTAAATTTTCATTTGGAAAGGATTCATAATTCGAAATAAACTCAAATAATCTTTTTTATAGAAGATATCACGGTGATTAATATTACTTTTGTGCAATTTCTGTGTACAATTAAAATGTAAGACACTGGAAAAGTATAACTGAAAACTTAATCTTTTTTTTTTTAAATTAAGTGAAATAATTTTTTTATTTTTACGAAAAAATATTAATTTTACAAAAAAATAATATATTACCTTACTTTTTGTTCACATTAATTTCTATAAAAATTGTTCTTTGTGTTTTTGACGAAACTTCAAAAATAATGAGCGTACACTCAAAAAAAGAAAATCCACCCCATTTTTGAAGAACTTCAACCCCTTTGAGGCACCTGAAGAGGTTGACTTATTGTACTCAAATTTTACCAGTTTCATTTTTTTAGTGAACCTAACGAAATTTTGAGCCCATGACTCTAAATTTATAAAGTTGAAAAATAAGGACCGCCGTAATATATACAGGGTGATTTTTTTATCACAACCCACTCAATTACTTGCAGAATAATAATAATTTAAACATTTTTTTTTTTTATTATCTTTAGTTACACATTATTCTTGAATTTTTAACTATGTAATACTTTTTAAGTTCATCCCTTATGCCTTGGAAAGGGGTCAACTTTGTTTTTTTAAATGGTAACACATATTTTTAATTTCATAAAATGTTTGAGTTTTTAATTTAATAGCAAATGGCGTTTGAATTTTTAATATAACTTAATTCGTTTATTAGATATAATCATTTAAAGTTTCAAATTTTTTAATTAATATACAGGTATAATACACAAGGGATTACAAATATAGGTAGCTAATTGGTTTTTTATAACATCGATATTAGCAGGTACACAGCATTGTTATTATCAATTGTAGTAAGGCACATTGTTATGAGTTTATAAATACACTAACTGACAATACAGAAAGTATATCTATTGATAATCATATTTGATAATAAACAATCCGTGACTGAGACAGCAATGTCATAAAAATCCAATTAGCTACCTGTATTTATAAACCCTAGTATATTATACATGTATATTAACTCAAAATTTTGAAACTTTAAATGTTTATATCTAATAAACGAATAAAGTTATATTAAAAATTCAAATGCCATTTACTATTAAATTAAAAACTCAAACATTTTATTAAATTAAAAATATGTGTTACCATTTAAAAAAACAAAGTTGACCCCCCTCCAAGGCATAAGGGATGAACTTGAAAAGTATTACATAGTTAAAACTTCAAGAATAATGTGTAACTAAAGATAATAAAAAAAAAAAATGTTTAAATTATTATTATTCTGCAAGTAATTGAGTGGGTTATGATAAAAAAATCATCCTGTATGTATAAATCACAAACAAAATATATATAACATATATATTTTATTTTATATTAATATTTATATTTTATATATTTTTTAGGTCCAAGCGGGACCTAAAAAAAAATATAGGGACACCTAAAAAAAATTTTGGCTTAAAACATTAAAATAAACGCACACAACAAAAAATTTCTACCACTACAGACGAAAATTAGCTTCCGATAATAACTAATTTTGGACAAAACGTTCGTCGTTTGACTCAGCGGTCCTATAGTGACACCACGGTTAGCCTTTAGAGTAGGGATCAACAAATTTTACTACTCAGTGCCGGAAATGGTTGAGAATAATTTTAATAAAAAAAAATATCGTAAGGCGACAATGTATGTGGTGAGCAGTGCAAATGACGTTCAACATAGGAAAGGAACGGGGTGGAGTGTACACACAAATGCTGTCCATGAACCGGGCCAAAATAGTACACAGCTGGCTATCTCGCACGCGCTTACACAAATCACAATACCTTATCATGATTATCGCAACACGCATTCGGCTCAGCCAAGATAATTTAGAACACACAGATATATACATGATGATCGAAATCTGGTAAGACACTTATTTTCTCAGAAACTATTGAAAATTTAAAATTTTTGTAAAAAGAAAAATTACTAATTATAAGTTTATAAAACTCTACAATAATATGAAATTAAATAATTTTTTTTTATCCCTTTAGGGATAAAAATATTTATTTATAATTTTTTTAAATAGGAACCACTATTTTTGAATTGATAATATAATAGAAAAAAAAATTACTAACAATTTTGTTCTTATAATTTTTTATATCTGGACAACCGTTTACGTTTTATAATTGTTTAAAGATTTTGACTTCCAGAAAAAGTATTACCACATATTACGTTTCATAATATCGGTGGCAGTGCAACCGGTTTTTTTGTTAGATCTTTTAGTCTTACAAAACCATAGACTTAGCTATTAACAATACGCTGAAAACCCGATTTCATTCTATTATTGTTATTATTATTATTAGCGCGTAGTAAATTTTTATAGCTAATTTACCTGTCATAACTTGATCAATAAAATTTGGTTTATGCAACATCAAATAAAAATAATGACTTCTGTATTTAATACAGTATAATGACAATAGAAATTTGACTTAAAATCACTTAATATTAACAAGCTGTAACGGACGAACGGTTAATCGGATAATAAAGATTATAAGAACAAAATTGTTTGTAATTTTTTTTCTATCATATTTTAAAGTTAAAAATAAGGGTTCCATTTAAGAAAATTCTTAATAAGGGTTTTTATCCTTGAAGGGACGAAAAAAATAATGGTTTGACTACATATTATTGTAGAGTTTTTTGAACTTGATATTTTTTCTTTATTATAAAATTTAAAATTCTCAATATTTTCTGAGAAAATGAGTGTCTTACCAAATTTTGATCACCATGTATATATTTACAAACAGACAAAAAAATATAAGCTGATACTTTTTTTAATGTTACAAATAATTCAAAACGTTACAATACTGGCTATCGACTTTTTAACGTTTTATTTTGAACATTATCTATTTAATAGTAAAAAAATAGACTCCTAATTAACTTTTGAAAGTTACCCATAAAATGTACCTTTTGTAATAAATATTTCTTACTATAAACTTATAATATTTACAATGATTTATAATAATAATATAATTTTAATCTATGTGTTTTTATAAAAAAAAATGGAGATTAGTATATAAAATAAATTACACTGCATGTTGATGAAATAACGACAAAAACGATTATATAGTAGTTAGTGGTGGATTATGTTATACCCCTTACAACCACCAGCAATACGATCTTGTCATAAAACTTTCATGAGTTCCATTTCTATAGAATTTTTAATATTCTCAATTACTACAACAAATTATTTGTCTAGGAACAATAATTGTTTTTAAAAAAAGTATATACTTATAATTGTATTTACCTAAAATTGGATAAGTGACATTTAATAATTATTAAAATTATATTGTTCGCTACTATGGAATTATTAAATTAATGACTTTTTGGTGGTTACTATAAGTAATTTTCTAATTTTTTTGAAAAATGTTGATTTGAATTATATTAATGCTTAATATAGAACTGCAACAACTCGAAAATGAAAAATTTTGAGCTTTTAAAATATTATCTATTATTTAACATCAAAATTGTAGAATTCGAATTGAATATAGCTAAATAATTTTTCAAAAAAGAATGTTTTTTAATTTGAATTTAACACATACACAATATACAGAAATTGTTGTTCATTTTTTTTTTTTTTTTTTTTTATGATAATGATGTGTTCAGAATTACTTAACAACATGTGTAAATGTATATAATTCCTAGTCCTATAAATAACAACTTAATCATTGAAATTTTTAGGTAAACTGTTTGATATAATTAAGTTGAAAACATTATGTAAGGAATGTAAAACAAAGGAAGGAAAATATAGCTATTCTTCAATTTGTCCACACGTATTTTGCAAGGAATGCTTTAAAAAAAAAAAAAAAGAAAGCGATCATTGCCCATATTGTAATCAACCATTAATAAGACGCCAAGACAACCGTGAGTGATATATTTTACAAATACAGTATATCTTAGACCTTAATGATAATGATAACACTTATAACTTTTGATACAATTATCATTTTGTTGAAATATATTATTATTTTTGATATTTATTATCTGGTTTGACAATATTTAAAGTATATTCATTAAAATTTATCGCTAAATAGAAAATATAAATAATTATTTTTTAGCTTCGTTATGAAGCTGAAAAGGTATTAATTTTATAGAAACTTTAGGTATTTCTCGTTCAATATATATACATGTTATCAAAACCTGACCCTTTACCTGCCCACAATCGGGCATTCAAAATAGCAATTTTTTCAGTTTAACTTATGAAAATGTTCTGGAAACACTGCGTACTTTAAACATATATTTTAAAAAAATGTGTCCCGAGAACATATTTTCTATGTGCCAATGACCGTTGAAGTTGGGTTATAAGTTTTATATACCGTTAAAAGTTGAACAAATGTATTAAATAAATTTAAATTTATTAAATATTTATTCACACATTACTCTTATATATCATGAAACTTACAATTGGGTTATAAATACGGAGATAGGAGTTTATTTTGCTTTTGGAATAATCCAACAATTTCTTAAAATTAAACACTGTCTACAGATTTGCATCGAAACATTTTTTTTGATAATGATTTTAGTCACTGTCAGATAACCTCTGTACTTTTCCCAACTATGCCTCGTCCACACTGTGCCTCGACCCCACTGTGCTACCGTTTTTTTTTTTATTGTTTTTCTTTATTGCAAGAAAAAATTATATTTAATGGTAGATTAAACTGGTAACTTTCGTAAGTTAAATGGGAACTAAGAATGGTTAAAATATTTTGATAACTCGTTTTATATTATTACTTTTTAGGATATTAATATTTTATTTTTAAAAAGGGCATAGAGCAGTGTAGTGTTTAGCGATGCTGTATTTTTACCATAAAGCACAGATATGAATGCTCAAAATTGCGCATCCCTGTCTCCTATAACTAAAAACTATATTAATTCAATAATTAAAAACGCGAAACTGGTTATCGACCAGATTAAACATTATTTAGGCTATTCGTCATTTAATAGTTAAAAATATTAATAATTATCCCCATAATCTATCCATAGAAATAAATTCTTTTCATAATAACTTTGATATATACTATGATTTAGAAAAATTAATCAAGTTTTAAACTGTATATTTTATTTAAAAAAAAACACTATTTAATAAAATTTAAATTATTAACATTTATCTGTAATAATCAACATAAATAAAATTAAAGTAATTTTATATGCATACTATTTTCCTCCTAACTTTTCATTTGAACAATATAAAGTTTTTATAATTCCTTTGAAAATGTATGTATATCATATTCCTATTTAGTTCTTATAGCATCATTAGATTATAACTTACCGGTTATATTCTGGACTAATTCGAGGGAGCATACAAATCTTTTCGATATTAATTCTAATAAAATGATTTTTGTGGTTATCAATTGCATTTTATATTTATTCCACAGAAATAGCAGAATTATTTAATTAATAATTTCAATTTATATAATTATTAATTGGTCACTTAAAAGTGGTATAACCCAACTTTTTGGAAATTAATATTTGTTATTCCTGTACAGAAAACTTTACAATGACTAAATTTCATCTAAATTATAGACAAATCTGTAAGCAGAATTCTAAACTTTTTTTACTAGTAAAGTTATTTGAACCTTTCTTATAACAGTGTTTAAATAATTTATAATCGATGATCAACATAGATTTATTAGATGCAGTTAAAGATGAATGTAAGAGCAATGTAATTTATATGGATTTTCAAAAAACATCGAAAAAAATTGTGCAAAAAATTAATAAAATTTGATAAGTTTATTGAAAATTATACTTTTAATAATTTAGATACTGTTCAATCTTCGTGTAACTTTTCAGTCTTATTTTTTATTCGATACTTATGTAGACCATATATTTTAAAACAAATGAAACTTTAGTTTTCCTAATTAGATATAAGTCATGCTTTAATAATATACATTGATTTGATACATTGTACTGTGCGTACAATTCATTAATAGAGGATGGATCTATTATTTGGAATTCCTCCCCAGGTTTATCATGTTAAAAATATTGAAATAATTCAGCAGCGTTATTCGCGTTACATTACCTACAAAAATACAGTTAATATTTACCGTTTTGGTAATATTTGTGAAGTTGTTATGAGCCAAACATTGTCAATATGTATAACATGTCAATTGTCCACGTTAATGTAGTTAGAAAGCTGTACTTAACTTTTTCTATTCTAAGAAATATATATACATAAGATCACATATATTTTCAAGTTAAACGAAACAAATGTTAGCATAGGCTAAATTTTCAACTAGTAATCAGGAAAATATATTAAAATAAGATAATTTCAAACTAATCTATACCATTTTAATTGAATACAAATTTAAAAAGTTTATAACACCATTACTTATTTACATTGTAAATTTCTGATGACTATTAATTTATTAATTTTGTTTTTTAGAGTGCACTTGTTGTTTTGAGGCTATTACTAATAAAACTGATACTTATAAACATTGCAATTCCATATTTTGTAAATCATGTATTCTAAGTTCACTAAAAATAAAAGGAAATACGGACTGTTTATATTGCTCTAAAGATATAATAACTACTGGTAATGTATTAACCAACACACATTAAAAATAAGTTTCATTCTAATTCTGTGCAATTCTTCTTTTTTTATGAAAATTTTATAATTTTTTTTATTAACAATACTTATCAATCTTAATTGGTTATAATTGGGTTATAAATAAGGAGATAGGAGTTCATTTTGTTTTTGGAATAATCCAACGATTTCTTAAAATTAAACACTATCTACAGATTTGCATCGAAACATTTTTTTTGATAGTGATTTTAGTCACTGTCAGATATCCTCTGTACTTTTCCTAACTATGCCTCGTCCACACTGTGCCTCGACCCCACTGTGCTACCGTTTTTTTTTTATTGTTTTTTTTTACTGCAAAAAAAAATTATATTTTAAGGTAGATTAAACTGGTAACTTTCGTAAGTCTATTTTGGTTCTAATAGAGTTTTATAAATCAGAAGTTCAGTATTAATGTTTGTAATCTTGAAATTTATGAATGTTTATTGTTTATGATTTATGCTTTGATTAACCACTGACGGTTATTGAATAATTAGTGATTAATTTTAATATTCTAAGACCGCGTGAGTCGTTTATAAAGTGTGAGAATAAGATACTTATCGTGGGAAAAGAAGAGGACTAGTACTTTTCATAAGAAACACCAGGATAAGGTAAAATTCTTAGAGTAAAAGTATCATGAATTTAATTTGTTAATTGTAGTGTTAAGTATTATTATTGATCTTATAAAGAAAAGGCGTTATCTTGTCTTACATCAAAAAGTCAAATTTCAAGCTTGTTGATGATTTTTTCCGCCAAAGTAGTAGGATGTAAATTACGAATCACAAAGTGTAAAAGTTTGTTTTCTTTTCAATGGAGTGTATGAAATTAATTTTTTTTTTATTTTATGAACCGGTCTACTGTTTTATATAAGTCTGGATTTTGAATTTTGAGTTTAAGTTTGAATTTTAAGGCAATATGCTGTTAACTAACATTGAAATGGTCCACTTTAATCAATTTGATAAGAATCGTCAATAGATTAGTGAAGTTCTTCGCTTCTTTTATGAAAATAAGATGAGGGATTTTGATAGGTTGTTTCGGTATATTCTCAATGAGGTCATCATTATGTATGATTTCAATAACGCTTACATCGTTATTAAATATTTCATAGAGTAGAGAGAAATATTTTAATATTTAGAAGAGAATAAAAAAAAAACAATCTAAAAGATAAACCTGTAAATTTTTCACAATTCAAAATTAAATTGTATTAGTATAATCGCTATGGCGAGAGAAATATACGTAGTGTAAAAAATAAACGAATGTATACGGTGACTGATACCGCGCACAATTATGTTTTTATTTAAAAAAACTGTCCAAAATTTTTTGAAATATTAATATTTGAAAAAAGAATAAACTCAACGAGGGTATCTAATTCTAAGTTTAAGAATAAAACGGTCGGTCATAAATAAACGAGTTAATAAGTCAAAATTAAATTGAGCTTTTTAGCAAAATGGTGATATTTAGTATTTTATATAAACTTTATTTTTCTTTTGTTCAATCTTAATTAATTTAAGATCTGGATTAATTTAACTTTCTCAGCATTGAGGAAGAGTAGGATTCTAAATAGTGAGACAAAACTGTGATTAATTGGTGCGTGTGGATTTGTCTGTCAAATTATTGTATTAATTAAGGTGCATTTCAATTCTATGCATAATACTGTACTTTTAATGCACTAACCTTTTATCGCATAATTTAATAATAAATAAAATTTAGATAATATTTTACGAAAAAATAAACTATGTTTTCAATTTTTTTAGCACGTCGTTTATGTAAATCAGTTATTCCCGAAGATCATGGGAAAGTTTATTTGACATCATGTTGTAAAAATAGATTATGTTTTACGTGCTTTAAGGAACACGGAAACAGAATGAATATATGTTTTATGAAACCTGCGAACAGTTGGCGAAATATTTGTCCATGTTGTCATTTCAATCATCAATATGGTATTATCCTAGTACTAATATGCCGATTAAAATAATTTAATAAAAAAACTATCAATACAAAAACAAAAGTTTATAGCTAATTTTAAACATTTTCAGGTCCTCGTTACAGAATAATAATGTTAAAAAAAAACGGTAGCACAGTGAGGTTGCGGCATAGTGGAGACATTGCATAGTAGGGTCCAGTATAGATTTAATCTGACAGTATTTAAAATCACTATCATAAGAAACGCTTCGATGCAAATCTGTAGATAGTGTTTAATTTTAAAAAATTGATGGATAATTGCAAAANGAATTGCAAAAAATGTAATACTAATATAGGAAAATGTAGCATTAGCTTTCTTTGTCCAAACTTGTATTGCGAGGATTGCATCAAAACAATAAATAGAAAAAACCACACTTGCGTACATTGAAAATGAGGAAATATTATGTACATACTTTAATTGACACATTGCAAAATATGAAATTATTATATTATTATCATATTAATACAATTAACATTAATTAATTATAAAATATTTAAAAAATCCGTATATCATAAAGGCTATTTCAAATGTGTTCCATTTTTTATCAACATGGAATGTTATTATAAACACACCTAATTTACAAACATATTTATAAAATTAAATAAAACTTTTACAAAATTTATTAAAATAGCTGGTGTTTTTCATATTCTTTATTTATTAGGGTTGTAGAAAGAAGACATCACTACATAAATACCTCATTATAGTTCTAAATAGATGCCGTCTACTTGTTGGGTCAACCAAGCTGTATTTTTTTTTGTCCATCGTTTTTATCAAAATAAAACGTTGAGTCGATCTGACGTCTACTTGTGGTGTCAACTAAGGTGTTCAGTTTTTTTTTGTCCTCCGTTTTTTTTTTTTAAATAAAACGTTGGGATGTTAATGATGATGCTGATGTGAGGCGCAACTATGGCCAGTGGTGGGCCGTCACTCAAGAACACGATCAACAAGTACAACATGAAACCCCCTTATTAATGTGATGTACATAGCACCTTTTATTCTTCTTTTTTGTATTTTATTCTTTTCTTATGAATATACACTATACAGGGTGATTTTTTTATCATAACCCACTCAATTACTTGCAGAATAATAATAATTTAAACATTTTTTTTTTTTTATTATCTTTAGTTACACATTATTCTTGAATTTTTAACTATGTAATACTTTTTAAGTTCATCCCTTATGCCTTGGAGGGGGGTCAACTTTGTTTTTTTAAATGGTAACACATATTTTTAATTTAATAAAATGTTTGAGTTTTTAATTTAATAGTAAATGGCATTTGAATTTTTAATATAACTTTATTAGCTTATTAGATATAAACATTTAAAGTTTCAAAATTTTGAGTTAATATACATGTATAATACACATGGGATTGTAAATACAGGTAGCTAATTGGATTTTTATGACATTGCTGTCTCAGTCACAGATTGTTTATTATCAATTATGATTATCAATAGATATACTTTCTGTATTGTCAGTTAGTGTATTTATAAACTCATAACAATGTGCCTTACTACAATTGATAATAACAATGCTGTGTACCTGCTAATATCGATGTTATAAAAAACCAATTAGCTACCTATATTTGTAATCCCTTGTATATTATACCTGTATATTAATTCAATAATTCAAAAATTTGAAACATTAAATGATTATATCTAATAAACGAATTAAGTTATATTAAAAATTCAAATGCCATTAACTATTAAATTAAAAACTTAAACATTTTATGAAATTAAAAATATGTCTTACCATTTAAAAAAACAAAGTTGACCCCTTTCCAAGGCATAAAGGATGAACTTAAAAAGTATTACATAGTTAAAAATTCTAGAATAATATGTAACTAAAGATAATAAAAAAAAAAATGTTTAAATTATTATTATTCTGCAAGTAATTGAGTAGGTTATGATAAAAAAATCACCCTGTATATTTAAAATGATACATATAAATTTTCAATAATTAAAAATAAAAAATATATTATACATGGCATTTCTCTTTTTATTAACATTTGTTTTTTTTTAAATCAAAACCTAGTAGCTCAGTCAATAAGGACTATCTTGCTTGGCGCGGCTACTAGGTCACTGTTCAGTATTCCCCTGGGCAGTGGGTAAATAGTAGGCCCTCTGTTTTGGCTGAAACCTTACACAATAATTAGAAAATAATAATTTGATCAAATTATGTTTTAATGTATTTTAAAATACATATTTAATAACTATGGTCAATATAACGACAAACTAACTATTCAGTCGCATTTCTAATATCTAATTAAATTTATTATATAAATGTAGTTAAATATTTTGAATACTTTAAATTTTTATGAATAGTTTTCCTAACAATATAATTGGTTTGTTTATATATAAACCATAATTCTTATTCAGTTAAGACAACCATATTGATTTTTTCGATGATATGAGATTAAAAATATTGTGCCATCATATCCAAACGGCCCACGATTTTATTTTATTAGTATATATATGTAGTTAATATTAAGGTTTCCTTATAAAAAATATAAATGAAGGTTACGTCTATTTTGACATTTTTAAACTATTTTTTTTAAATTTGCCATAATTCTTTAAAAAATGAACAAATCAACATAAATTTTCTTTTTATAGATATCATAAATATTTATCTACTATTTGATGTACATTTTTTGAAAACCTGAACCTTCACCTGTTACAAAACTTTAAACAGTACATTTTTCTGAAATATTTTGGTCATGCAAAAATAATGAGTTAAGAACTTTTTATAAATCACACTTTATTAAAGTGTAACGAATTTCAAGTTTGAAATGAATAAGTATAAGAAATTCAACGCGTTTAATATCTATGACGTTATCGTAATTTTATAAACCTTCTTTTAAAAGTCGATATACAATAGCTTATAATAACTTCATAGTTGATAATATACTCGTTCATATTATTTATAAAATAAATAAAATAAATGATAATAACATCTGTTTAAAAATCAAAAAGTAAAATAATATTTTTGTGTTTTGAAATTAAGTTATCGATGAAAATGTACGTGACATTATGCATTATAAATAATTATTATTTATTATACAGTTCAGTTGATACTTAGACAATCGAATTCTGTTCATAATAATTTTAAAACTTTCTTTAATTAAAACATAATTTTAAGTAATTAAAAAACTGTTTTAAGTTATTTTACAAAATGGTAAGTATGTCCGCAAATAAGCAGACACTTTAATTTCATAAATGACTACAAAGTATTTAACGTCAATATAAATAGAATTTTTATAAGAATAACAATAGTATATAATTATGTTTAGTGATGTGGAAACATCTAACCTATTAATCGCTAACAAATTTTAAAAACTGACAAGCCTGAAACCCTCTGTATCTAAAAACAACAAGATTCACGATATTTTTCTAATATTATAACTTTTGATTTACTAAAAATTTATCATCAATTTTTTTTATAATTTATGCATTCTTACACTATGCTAAAACCATAATTTTTATTATTTAATTTTAATAATAAAAAATAATTAAACATAGTTCTTGGTTTTAAATTTAAAATAGTAATTTTTAGAGCTATTGAGTTAGTCCATTCCAAATCATCTAGAAGTAGTTGCCCGACCCCTTTTTTGGTTTTTAGTGATATATTTAGATTAAAACAATTTTTTTATGAGATTTCCATTTGTATGGTTTTTTCAGTGTAAAAAATGTTAATAACAGTCACAACGTTCAATAACAGATTATTCAATATTAATTTAATAATTTTAAATTTTAGAATTGACGTCATTTATTGGTGCACATTAGAGCACGTGTATTTTTATACAATTTCTAACTTTGTAGACCTCTAAATCCCGTTCGCCGGATTTGTTTTATTAAAGAAGTAGGAAGCGGAACGCCTGAGACAGAGGCAGTCACGCCGACCGGCACAGAAGGACCTGAGGCACTGGTTTAGGCCGGTGCCTTAGGTTCTTGCCCTAGTTTTTGTGTTTTGTTTGTGAGTTGTTTTGCCAACCCTCCCTGACGGTTACCACAGTGGGAATCGGTTAACGGGAGGGGGCGGCCCACAATAATGTCAGTCGTGGAAAAAAAAAAAGACCTCAAAATCCGAGGAAAATTGTTTTAAATATTTTAATTTTGTTGAAACATACATTATACACTATACATTATCACATTTGGAAATCACTATAAAATAATAACTTCTTAATGGTTTAATTGAGCTCAAAAACTAAAATTTACACAGAAAGTCGCCATTTTTATAAAGTCATTAATGTTTAGATCAATTTTCGTCGGATTTAGAGGTATACAAAGTTAGAAATTGTATAAAAATACACATGCTCTAATGTGCATAAAAAAATTACGTCAATTCTAAAATTAAAAATTTATTAAGTTAATATTGAATAATCTGTTATTTAACGTTGTGGCTGTTATTAACATTTTTTACACTGAAAAAGCCATATAAATGAAAATGTCATAAAAAAATCGATTTAATTATAAATTATTACTAAATATGTCATAAAAAATAACCGTTTAATAGATGAGGATCTTGGTCAAAACCAAGAATCGGAAGCTACCCGACGTCTCCCCAAATATCGTTGCTATCTCCTTAAATGAGTTTTAATTGCCTGAAGGAGAAACAGGCAATCGTATACCTTAGTTACAGGGGGTAGATTATTAGATAAAATTATACTGTTGTTTTATGTCAACGAAAAAGTAAAGTTATATTTTAGATGTTTAATAAATATAAGTCATATGTAATGTACAATACGTCTGACCTGAATCCTAGTACAGTTGGTTAGTAGGGATATCCAAGTGAGACGGAGTTGGTTGGCTATGATGACAATTGGCGATAGACGGGTCGTTGAATAAAACAAGTTAAGTTATAAATAATATAAATAAGATGAAAGTAATATTATTGAAAACTATGTCTATAACGGCCACTCAAACACAACTGCCCTTTGTTAGTTCGACGCCAGTAGCTCCGGGCTACAGACGAGTAGAATTGTCACATCAGCATCTCCTTTTATGCTAATTAATATGTATTAATAATTAAATAAATAGAAATAAAACGTGTGTAATATAAGTGGTAAGAACATAGTAATAAATGTTCTTACAATCCACAAGCACTTAAAAAATGTGTAGTACACATTTTTTAAAGATCACTATGGCTTCAATTTTTAATGCCCATTAGGGAGGTTCTTGGGTATAGAATAAAATAATTTTTTTTAAATTCTATTTTCTCAATTTTTATAATTAATAAAAAAACAATAAGAATTAAAAAAACAAACTCATTAAAGTGGTTAAAATCACTATCATAAGAAACGATTCGAAGTAAATTTGTTGATAGTGTATAATATCAAGAAATTGATATTATATAAAACAAGTTTCAATGTACATTAAATTTCCTTTTTAGTGATTTTAATCACTATCATATTAAATATATACTGGACCTAACTTTGCGACGTCTCCACTATGCCGCGACCCCCCTGTGCTAGGTTTTTTATTATTATTAAATATAAATAAAATACAATTTTAATGTAGTTTAAGAATACATGATTTATTTGAAAAAAAATTACACAAAAATATTTGGTAGATCAAAAATAGGTTGTCATATTATTATTATCTACATTGTGTATACGTATAACTCAAATTTAATTAGTCTATTATTTTAAGTCTTTTAGTGTGACTGATAAAACATATCAACATCAATGCATAAATAAGCTCTTTACTATTTTTTTAGAAATCAGTTAAGTTATTAATAGCAATATTGGCATATTTATTAATACAATCAGCAGGTAATATAAAAAAATTGATTTTTATATTTATCTTATTAATTTTGGGACTAAATTGGTTAAATTAAATATTATTTGATTATTGTAGTTGTCATGGACAATATCTCTTTTAAAAACTTTCGAATATTAAATTTGCTCTTTGGTTAATGATTGAAAAATATATGTTTTTCATTAAAAATATATTTCAACAATAAAATTAATTTGTTAAATAAATTATAATTATTATTGATATTTTTATTAGGAGTTTTTTCAAGTTCTAGTAAGTAATAGTTATCAATAAAATTTTCTTTTTGTAAGTAAACTCAGCTTTCTACAATGCTATCTTACTAATAATTTAGATGTAGGGGAGAGCGAAGTTAGTTGTTACAATTTGTACATTTTTAATTTTTAGAATTTCACATTAATTATTATCTGGATGAATATTCATCCATTTTATGCAGTTAATTCTTAAGTATCATACAAATATATATAAATAAATAAAGAAACATTTTTAATCAAAGAGTATAATGTTTTGATTCATCAAATCAAAAAGCAACAACTCGCCCCGAATCGGGGTAAATTGTTACATACTGGGGGCAAGTTGCTATAATATTCATTTTTATTTTATTTGATAAATATTATTCGAAAAAATAACAAAAAGTAATAGTACAAAGTCTTATGGTAAAATCAGTCTTGCGTATAACAATTTTAAAACTATGTAAACCGGAAATGATGGACTACAACAAACATGTTTCTGAAAATGTTCAACAATCTGTAAAAAGGAAGATGCAGTTACCCATCCACTTGGGTGGCTAGCACCAATGCAGCCATTAGGTCCATTGCTTATAAAATGCTGTTTAAAATTAACTCTTGGAAATATAAGTATAGGTGGCAAAGAGTTTCCTATGGCATTGACAGCAAAGACCATAGTTACAGTTGTTCCTTTCTAACTGATACTTCACATACAGACTATGTAGATTATCAAAAAAAATACCGATATTATGTTTATTAAAGTTAATGATTCTTCCAAAACTAGTTGGTTCAGGTAAACGTAAAGATAACATGGGATGCCTTTTTAAGAAACTAGTGTTGTAAAACAAAAATAAAAGGTATAAAAGAAAAGGATAAAGTAGGATGGAAGGGAATATTATAAGAGTATCGCAAAATAAGAATTATCCCTTTTCTCGGGGTGTGTTGTTCGAGGGTCACTTGCTATCTTAAGTACGTGCACAATAAATTGAAATGTTCTTACCTTAATTATATAATCCTCACTGATGCAATAATTTACTCGTGGAGTAATGAAGAAAGTATGAATTATAATAACCAATTTGTATATAAAAAAATATCTTCGATTATTTTATTATCAAAAACACATAATACAATAATAGTAAAGGAAAAACAAACAAAACTAAAAAAAATACAAAATTGGCTTAAAAGGCGAAAGAGAGCCGGACGATGATCGCGACGTGTTTGTATGTCGGTTGGATTTGAACACAGGCAGTGTCAGTCGAGCCCATGGAGTCCTTTGGTGTCCTTCCAAAGTCCCCTTCCAGACACGTACATGACCATCGGCCTTACATTTATTTAGATTCTTTTGTTGCTATTTTGCTGACATTGTAGAAGGATTTTGTAAAACTACGGAGTTGTACATGTTGGGAAGGAACGGATGTGTGTGCATGGCGTGATTGTGTGAGTTGTGTGTGTATCTGCAGTCAGTGATAGAAAGTGTTGATTGTGTTTTGTAATTTATTGGTGTGTGGGTAGAAGATGAAAGAATAACAGATAAACATTTTGTTCGGTTGTGTTAAGGGCCTATTACAACACTAGTAAATCAGTCTTTAGAGGCTTGTTTACGAGCATCCCAGTTTTTGAGATAAGCAACATCATTTGCATTTGCATATTCATATGCCAACAACTTAACGTCCAATGGAGTAAGACCATAATAGATTCTGCTACAATGAACCAATAAGTAGATAAAGCAGCTTCTAAAGATTCTGAAAATACTTGCCTAGGTTTGCNAAGATTCTGAAAATATTTGCCTAGGTTTCGCATATCCAATCAGTTTACAATTAGTTTTCAAAGGTATATTGGATTGCTTTTTAATGTATCTTTGATGTGTCATAAAATGTATTTGGTACTTTTCTGCAGCATTTCTCAGCGAATTTTTCTTAGATAACACTTCAGCTGCAGCATTTTTAAATGTATCTCCAGATGTTGTACCTCAATTAGTTTTTTTTGTAATTTCTGACCATCTAAATGAAATAAATTTTATATATTTAATTACTTGTAAATAAAAATTTAATTTTTTTCTAGTTGGGGCAAGATGATACAGTGTAGCAATTTGCCTCAACCAATTATAACAACTAGCCCCATACAGAAATTTTTTGTTTACATCGTAATCACTCAAAAATAAATTGTTATTTTTGTAATTTCTAAATAGAAAATGAAAGAGTAATATCTAATGAAAATGTATTTAATATCATAAATATCTTACCTTATGTCCAGAGCTCCAGAAAAAAAAACAAAATGTCGACAAGAATTTATTATTGAAATGGATAAACATAAAAATGTGAAATTATTTTCATATTGATAACATGAAATCTATATCATCACAAAATATTTGACTTGGAAAATCATTTCATAAAAGAATGTGGTTGGCACGGTACTACCACAATTTAAAAATCAAAATATCTCTAATGTAACAACTTTCCCTCGTAACAACTAACCCCACTCTCCCCTATAAAAAAAAATATTTCAATTATTTAAAAATCTAAAGTTCTTTTAATTGATTTATAACCTACGAATATGTCTTTTCAAGATAAAATTTTATTTTATTTAATTATTCTTTAAATAGTAATTAATTTTGTTATATACAGGTTATTATTTAATTCCAAGTAATTACTAAATAAATTTAATAATTATTCTATTAAACCTTAACTTAAATTTTACTAATTGTTCATTTTAACTATAACTAACTAGTTTTCCCAATACTGCAATGTCAGAAAAAAGGAAATTTAATGTACATTGAAACTTGTTTTATATAATATCAATTTCTTGATATTATACACTATCAACAAATTTACTTCGAATCGTTTCTTATGATAGTGATTTTAACCACTTTAATGAGTTTGTTTTTTTAATTCTTATTGTTTTTTTATTAATTATAAAAATTGAGAAAATAGAATTTAAAAAAAATTATTTTATTCTATACCCAAGAACCTCCCTAATGGGCATTAAAAATTGAAGCCATAGTGATCTTTAAAAAATGTGTACTACACATTTTTTAAGTGCTTGTGGATTGTAAGAACATTTATTACTATGTTCTTACCACTTATATTACACACGTTTTATTTCTATTTATTTAATTATTAATACATATTAATTAGCATAAAAGGAGATGCTGATGTGACAATTCTACTCGTCTGTAGCCCGGAGCTACTGGCGTCGAACTAACAAAGGGCAGTTGTGTTCGAGTGGCCGTTATAGACATAGTTTTCAATAATATTACTTTCATCTTATTTATATTATTTATAACTTAACTTGTTTTATTCAACGACCCGTCTATCGCCAATTGTCATCATAGCCAACCAACTCCGTTACAGAGGAACTAAGGTACACGATTGCCTGTATCTCCTTCAGGCAATTAAAACTCATTTAAGGAGGTAGGGACGATATTTGGGCAGACGTCGGGTAGCTTCCGATTCTTGGTTTTGACCAAGATCCTCAACTATTAAACAAGCCCCTAACAGGATACTTTATAATTTTTGTTTTTTTGTCTGGTTTGTACAGAAATAAATGGATTTTCTGACTTGACACAACTTATAGTTGTCTATACGAGAAGCGGCGAGTCTCCTTATTTTTAATAATGAAATAATAATTAATACCTTATTTTATAGATGAAGAATTAGAAGGTGAGTGCGTTTTTCTTCAATACATATTTTTAAAGAAATTCATAAAGTATTATACATTTTAAATGTTTTATGCTTAATAAATGTTATGAAAATTGTTACAATTACAGGATATTGTTCTCCAAGCAACAATAATAAAAGTATGTCTATTAATTCATCTATTATTCTATATATTATAAAAAATATTGACAATATATCATATCAATTGAAACATAACACCATTAAACGTAATAATATTGATAATATAAAACAATACTTATTAAACACATAAATATAAATGTTGAAATAATAAACTTTGTAAATATTAGAGGAACAAATTTAAAAATTTTTATGTCAAAAAATGCTATACAAAATGTATAAATGTGTTCAATGTTAAAAAACATATAGCTCAATTCCAAGATAACTTACAGTCTATTGAATCGGTAAACGGAAATATATTTTAAATCTTCGAAACGAAGCTGAGAGCTTCTCATCATTTTTTTTTTTGTGTTTTTAAAGTATTTATTGTCAAATTTGGTTTGATATAATAATACATTTAAACTACAAAATTAAATATTTTTACTTTGTTATTTTTTAATTTCTTAACTCTATTTGTGTGTGCTACTACCAGTTTATATTATTCCATATTTTTTGGTAACATCTTACTATATAAATCATTTCTAAAAAAATGATTTTGAGTTTCACATAAATTTGACAGTAAATTTTCACAATTACAATTAATATATATAATACATTAAGTTGATTTTTTTATCAACATTTTTATTCTTTTTTTTTTAATTTCAATGCGTAACTAATAAAAGTTTAGTGATCTTTATTTAATAATATAACAACTATTGTGATTAATTTTCATTTTCAAAAAATCCATATCGACCGCGTATCTGAGGTTACCTAGGTAGGTTTGTGTCTACAATGTAGTGGTGATAATAAACTATGATTAGAATAAAAATTACAAAAGAGGTGTTATCTTGACAATAGAAGTTTTATTAGTAATGGCGACATAGAAAACCCTTTCAAAGTTTTCACTAAGCTAATATAATAAAGCTATATTATTAATAACTTTATATTTTTTTTAAATATTTTGTTTTCAAAAAATTTGATTAATGTCAAATACTCTTGAAAATTGGTTTAACTTGAAAAAAATATTGTGTTATTAAATTTTTGCTTTTAATTTTAATATAATACAAAAAAGAATCAATTGGGCGAAAAAACTAACTGACAACTTTTTTAATGTTTGATACAATAATTATTTCTTTTTAATTATTTATAAATCATTTTTTCATTTGTAAACTATGTTAAGATTATGTTTTTTTATATAATTTATTAAGTTAATTTATACAAAATTTAAAAATAGTCAATTTTTAGTACTTTTCTTTCAAAAATTATTAATGAGTGGAAACAATATAAAACATATTCTTATTGAGATACAAGCATATTATTATATGAATTGGGTATGCAGTACGATATTTTTCATACATATGTATATTTATGACACATACTAAACACATGTTAGCCCGTCAACCTATTAAAAAACTATTGTAAATCAATGAGTACTTCTCCTAAAATTTTAGTCGATCCATCAATAATTTCAATAAGAAAAGCATTGAAAAATGACTAATTAGAAAATTTGTTTCTTATTAATAATAAATAATAAAAAACCTTCTCAACTTCGCATCGAAGCTGCAAAATATGCATTATACATAGTCTGTAGAATGCAATTATTTTTTTTTTAAATTTCAAATATGATAATTGTATCATGAGTTATGAGTTGTAGGTTAGTTTAAAGTCATTCTATATAGAGGTCATATGGTATAACATTTTATCACTTTCTCACAAATTGATTTATTTAAAATCGATTGAAAAAAGGTCGTTATAGTAGCCATCTGGATAAGAGTGGTTTTTAGATTTATAAAATTAACAAATGTTAAATTGTTAGTAAAATCATTTAAAATGTGTTTTATCATTATTATAAAATGTTACATAAAATTAAAAATATTTGTCAATACACAATAGTTATCAAGTAAATACGTTTAATGCAAAATTTTTAGTAAATCACTTTAAAAAAAATATTATTATTAAAATATTTACAGCAGAAAAAATAGAAGATGAGAGTTTTTTTTCAATCATTTTTTTTGTATGAATGCATAAATTATTTTACGTTTGTATATAAAATAATTTTTACACAATTATGAGATATTTTAATCTAAATCTTATAATTTAATAAAATGGAAATTCAATAAAATTTGAATAATAATTCATGAAAAAATTAAAAAACGCATTCAAATTTTTAGTATGTCATTTATGTAAATCAGTTATTCCTGAAGATCATGGAAAAATTTATTTGACAAAATGTTGTAAAAAGAGAATATGTTATTCATGTTTGTTTTCAAAGTTTATCGGAAAAGGAAAGTCTGAAATGTTTGTGATATGTCCATGTTGTTTTTACTATCATGAATATGGTAATATCTTAGTTCTTATAAGCTGATTAAAAAATTTAATAAGAATATTGTCAATACATAAAAAATGATCATAGAAAAATTTAAATTGACTTAATTACTTAATTCTAATATCTTTCAGGTCCTATGTATAAAATAAAATGTTTAGAAAAAAATTGTAAAAAATGTAATGAAAAACCAGGTAAACATAGCATTACCTATTTTTGTCCGGAATTGTATTGCAAGGATTGCATCAAAACAATAAATAGGAATAATCACTTTTGCAAACATTGAAATAAAAAAATTCTATTATTATTATTTTGTTTTTAAAATTAGGAAGAAAAATTATGTACTTACTTTAATTTACAAAACAAAATATTTTTAATAATTTTATTATCATATTAATCAATGAATGACAATTAATTATATATAAATATATCAATAATGTTGTTTCAAATTGATCTTTTTGTTATCAACATACGAAGTATTTAGAAATAAATAAAATGAAGTTATTATAAATTTTATAATAACAAATTTACATATATATTTATAAAATAAATTAAACTAATACAAAGTTTAATTCAGATAAGAAGAAATGCTTCATATTTTTATTGAGTTTGGTGATTGATGGTAGGCAACACAGCATCTTCTCATAGTTTTATTGGATTTTTAAATAAGTACCGAAAATTTTTAATTCGTGTTATATGATTATAACCATCCAAATATTCGTGTTTGAAAATACACAAGTATTTACACTTTTAAAAAACCTAGCACATAGGGGTTGCGGCAATGTGGTGACGTAGCATATCTGGGCTAAGTATAATAATAACTGATTTTGATTAAAATCACTCTCATAAAAAACGCTTAAACGCAAAATTTTAGATAGTGTTAATTTTAAAAAAAATTGTGGATTATTCCAAAAGCTACATGATCTCCTATTTCCTTATTTATATCCTGATAACAAGTTTTATGTTTTATAAGTGTAATATGTGTGTTCGCCACCGGACTCCTTATATACGGTTGGTCCGTTTGACTAGTAGTAACGCACCGACAAATCACAATAATTGGTTTTAATCATTAAAGGGAAAAATAAAAAGAAAGGTTACCATTCATACAATTACTATAGTTTTAATAGCACAATTCTAGTATAATAACTTAATATGGACGTCCGCAACAGAATACAAATATGTTAACTAGAGAAAAAACAATCAAATATAAATGATCTATAAATTTACATACAATTGCGAATTCTATATCCAAGCCTCGTCCTCCCACGGATTCCCGACATTCGTCACCGGACCAGGTAATGGAAGACCGACGATGTTCACCAATAATCAAAAGGACGATGGTCCGAGTACAGCACACAAAAAAAACCAACGCGGTATATTTGGCGACAAATCAATACGAAATCCCACTGGATATTTGTCGCCGTACAACAAAAGGTATCTCAACAACAGCGTATACAAAACAATACTATACGAGCAATCAGAAAAACCGACATGCCCAACATGTTCAATGTTGTCCACTGCGTTGGTCAGCCATACACGCGGACCGGTTTACCCTCGCCGCAAGCCTTTAGAGTATTCTACATAATACCCGGCTCGGACGAGGAGATAAGCCGGCCATCAGCTGACTGCTTAGTGCTGCGCAACTTGCTCAAACAATATGAATATATATATATATATATATATATTACATAAATATTATCTCTCATATATCTAATAGGTAAATACCTAAGGTATCTATATTATAAAAATTATATTTATTCGGTCATTTTTAAAAAAGTTATGGCAAATTTAAGTAAAAAAAATTGAAAAAATTTACAAATTTGTAATTTTTGGGGGATTTATTCCGTTTACGGGAAATGAGGGAAATTTTTTCAATTTTTGATGGTAATGTCTTTGACTAAATACGATTTATGATCTTTTGACGTATCGTTAAAAGAAATCGGTTCGATAAGAGCAAAAAATGGTGACAAACACAAAAAAAAAACCCATTCAAAACTTTCAATTAAATAATCTCGTGATACCATCTATATTGAATATATTTGAATAAGAACACATGCAGATAGATTCCAAAAATAATTAAAGATGGTTAATCATCACTATATCATTTAAACTTAAATATTCTTAAAATTATGTTGTAAAAATATTTATAATGGCCACTCAGCATATTATATTATAATATGCTGGGTGGCCTAGCGCTCATTGACAACTGAAATAATTACTGAATCAGTTAATATTTTTAGCTTCGATGCGCAGCTGAGAAAGTATTAATTTTACTATGATGTGTTTTTTTTTTTTGTGTTTACCCAATTTTTCTCAACTCTCACCAAACCGATTTATTTCAATCATACGTCAAAAGATCACAAATAGTATCTAATTGAAGACAATACCCTCAAAAATTGAAAAAATTTGCCTCGTTCCCTGTAAATGAAGGAAATCGCCAAATAGATTATAAATATAAAATTGCTAATTTTCCGCTTTTTTAAAAAGTTTTTCCACGGCGAGCAGAAGAAGTCGTGCTCAACTCCACCTATAGCAAAAATAATTTTTTTCATTATCTACATGAGTATCGCTAGTGAAGTAAACTTAGTTAAACAAAACTTAAACTAAGAACGTACACAACGAGAACGGCTGATCGACTAAACAAAGGGAAATTGTGACTAAACACGTGCTGTACATACACTGTAACGGTCGAAATTCTATACTTCAAGTCCAAAACACGATATCGATCATAGGTAACTTCTACTAATTTACAAAGCCGCGGAATTAAAAAAAAACGAGCATCACTAAAATAAGCGAAAAATGAAATTTTGGAGCATAAAAGTTGTTTGGTAAAAATTGATTTAAACGAATTTTGAATTAAGATCAGTACTTGGGCGTTGAAGATTTTGATTCTAGGATAGTTTTAGCATGATATAAGACAATAAAAAAAAATTTGGTAGATATTACACCTTAAACTTTTTCAAAAATAAACAAATCACTAAAATTTTTTTTTTTAGATGCATAATGTCTTTACCTACCAATTGATGTGTTTTCTTTTATAAATTTGACCCTTTACCTGGCCACTGTGCCGCCACCCCTATGTGCTGGTTTTTTTAAAACAATAGCTATAATTTAGGTCAATTATTATATCTAAATAATTAATTTTTTTACATTTTATAAAAAATATAAATTATTTTTAAATGTTAAATAAAATTTAAAAACAAAAATTTAAGATAGCTATTTTATAAAGTAGATTTTTAGAAAAATGTTGGTAAAATAATATTTTTTTTTTTTATTTTAGTACACATTAAATTATAATGTAATAACATTTAATATAATATAATAACAAGTTAATATCTATTAAAACTAACTGTCATTGACTACTAAGCGCAAGAAAAGAAACATCAATTTACGACTATTTGTCATTGACTAATTCTTTATTTTTATCATGCACATCGAAACCAGATTCTCATCTTTACGTTCTTTACAGTTGGACTAGTAGACTAGGCATAATAAGTATTATTTAAATACATGAATATTTTTATATTGTATGATAACTATAAAATAGTGCCGTTATCACAATTTTTATATAAGTTATTATGCATTGTCTAGTTAAAAGTTATATAGCAAATTGTAAATTTATAGAATTTTAACAACGTTTTTCAATTTCTAAATTAGGTTAACTTAAATTAATTTTGATTGTAAAGTAAATTTAAACATATTAAAAATGTATATATTATTTTCTATTCAATCGCATGCATAATCATAAGTCTATTTTTGTAACCTAACACTATCATAAAAATTTATCTTATGAAATATAAATAAAAGCAATAATCATGTAGTGGTAACGAACTTTGAAAACAACAGACTAAGTCATAGGAGGCAATTTTAATAAATACAATGAATATAATACACTATCAATTAAAACGAATATTACAACCAGTTACGTAAGAAACAATAATTTAAGAACGCATGAAGATACAAGATTACAAGAATTTTTTTGAACACAATACGGTTTCAACCCTTAATTATAAAAAAACCATAACTAAAAGTTCAAATAGCATTTTTTGACAAATTGTTTTTCCCCTCACTCTTACTATTTTGATCTTTTAAAAGGTTCAGACTCTGAATTTTAGAGATGAACCTTTAATAGAGGAAAGGTTAATGTCAGAACATTTATTACTATGTTCTTACCACTTATATATAGATTTTTAGTTTTGACCAAGATCCTCAAGTGTTAAACTAGTCCCTAATGATGCCGTGTTAATTGGTTTAGGAGATCGAATGTAGTTGATATTCGTGCGCATTTGTTCACCATACTCCCAAACATAGTTTATTAATATTTACATTTAATGAAATTCATTTTAGCTTCGATGCGAAGCTGAAAAGGTATTGGTGTTACTAAGATGTGTTTTTTTTGTCTGTTACCACTTTTTCTCAGCTCTCACCGAACCGATTTCTTTCAATGATACGTCAAAAGATCACAAATCGTATCTAGTCAAAGACATTACCCTTAAAAATTGAAAAAATTTCCCTCGTTCCACGTAAATGGAGGAAACCTCCAAAAAAATTACAAATTTCTTAAAAATCGCTTATTTTCGTNACGTCAATGGAGGAAACCTCCAAAAAAATTACAAATTTCTTAAAAATCGCTTATTTTCGTAATTTTTTCAATTTTTTTTACTAAAAACTGCCGTAACATTTTCAAAAATGGACATATCAATATAATTTTTTTTTTTTATAGATGCTTGATATCTTTACTTATTATTTGGTATATTTTTTTTGTAAATTTGACTTTTTTGCTGCCCACAGGGGGGGATTTAAAATGACAACTTTTTCACAAAAAATTAACTTTTCAACTTAACTTTTGAAAATGTTCCGGAAGGTCTGACTTTTTNAGGAAACCTCCAAAAAAATTACAAATTTAAAAATCGCTAATTTTCGAAATTTTTTAAATTTTTTTTATTAAAAACTGCCGTAACATTTTCAAAAATGGACATATCAATATAATTTTTTTTTTTATAGATGCTTGATATCTTTACTTATTATTTGGTATATTTTTTTTGTAAATTTGACTTTTTTGCTGCCCACAGGGGGGGATTTAAAATGACAACTTTTTCACAAAAAATTAACTTTTCAACTTAACTTTTGAAAATGTTCCGGAAGGTCTGACTTTTTTTTATATACCTTAAATTAAAGCTAATGTAATGTACTTTTATTTGAAAAAAAAAAATTTGACCTCTGGACTTGTCTTCATGGTGAAAACGGCTACCGAATGCTATTTTTGTGTGAAAATTTTCGATTTTATTATTTATATTATATTTAACTTTATAATGCTATAACTTATTGAAAAGTTTATGGATCCACACAATTTTTTTATGAGAAATAATATTTTTTAATAAACCTTTTTTCATTCGACATACTTTATCTTAATCGAGATATTAATAAGGAACCAGCAGATCAAGTAGTTTTGGAATAAAACACCAATTTTTTAAAATTAAACACTATCTAAAGATTTGCATCGAAGTGTTTATTTTTGATAGTGATTTTAATCACTGTCAGATATCATTATACTTGATCCAACTATGCTAAGTCACCACTGTGCCGCGACCCCCTGTGCTGGGTTTTTTTTTATATTTTTAACTTTATAATGCTATAACTTTTTGAAAGATGTATGGATCAATATAATCCTTTTATTTATAGATGCATGATGTCTTTACCTATCATTTTTCTGAAATATTTTGGTCATGCAAAAATAATGAGTTAAGAACTTTTTATAAATCACACTTTATTAAAGTGTAACGAATTTCAAGTTTGAAATGAATAAGTATAAGAAATTCAACGCGTTTAATATCTATGACGTTATCGTAATTTTATAAACCTTCTTTTAAAAGTCGATATACAATAGCTTATAATAACTTCATAGCTGATAATATACTCGTTCATATTATTTGTAAAATAAATAAAATAAATGATAATAACATCTGTTTAAAAACCAAAAAGTAAAATAATATTTTTGTGTTTTGAAATTAAGTTATCGATAAAAATGTACGTGGCATTATGCATTATAAATAATTATTATTTAGTATACAGTTCAGTTGATACTCAGACAATCGAATTCTGTTCATAATAATTTTAAAACTTTCTTTAATTAAAACATAATTTTAAGTAATTAAAAAACTGTTTTAAGTTATTTTACAAAATGGTAAGTATGTCCGCAAATAAGCAGACACTTTAATTTCATAAATGACTACAAAGTATTTAACGTCAATATAAATACAATTTAGAATAAATAAATTAAAATAAAGTTTAACAATAGTTTATAATTATGCTTAGTGATGTGGAAACATATAACCTATTAATCGCTAACAAATTTTAAAAACTGACAAGCCTGAAACCCTCTGTATCTAAAAACAACAAAATTCACGATATTTTTCTAATATTATAACTTTTGATCTACTAAAAATTTATCATCAATTTTTTTTATAATTTATGCATTCTTACACTATGCTAAAACCATAATTTTTATTATTTAATTTTAATAATAATAAGTAATAAAAATGTTTTTTTTTTTATTTTAAATTTGACGCGTATCCAATATACGATTGAGCGTTCACAAAATTCAACGTTTCCGACAAATAAGTACTTATGTATATTTATATAGTTATTTTGCTCTAGTCGGCAGGTCGACTCGACGTTTTATTTTGATAAAAAACGAAGGTCAAAAAAACTGCGGACCGTAATTTCGCTATCTAAGATATATAAGACGCTGGGTGCATTAACCGTATCATAGCGCGGTAATCGTCCCGTTAACTGTTGCACAAGTTGTTTCTCCGGTAAACCACAACGTACTCGCTCGGCCAAACGTTGTTAACGTCGGTAATTAAACGTCGGTTAACGATTGTCGGGGGCACTGTCGCGTCGTTTTTAAGTCCGTTTTTAAGAGCGCAGTCCTGATGTCGATATTGTCGAACTCCTCGAGTAATTCGGACCTAAATTCCGTCCATAGCATATTATTTAATTTTATTGTTCGCCACCAATCACCTGCCCTGTCGTTCAAAAACGGGACGACGATGTTCACCCACGCGGTTGGGTGTATACCGCCCTGACAGTGTAGTTCCTAAGCTGTGTCTAGAAACTCCCGTGGGTCCTCTTTGTTTCTTCCGTAATATTCGGGTAGGCAGGCGCGTACGGTACGTAGGTCGTGGTAAGGTAACCACCAGACCGCGAGCTGCGGGTAGGCTACAAATCATTAAAAGACCGACGTCTACCGGTTGTGTTGCATTGTCCCTCCCGTGGTTGGCGCGTAAACGAAAAATCGGTCGACCCGTTCTCATATGTATGAAGTGCGCGGATAATGTTCATCTTACCAACCGGTGCTACACATCCGTGGTAGCGACGCGCGTGACGCTTGTCCGTACGACCGTCTCAGGTTGAGATCATCTTGCGCTTCATTGTCCGCATGGCGCTTGTGAAGTGTCGCGTCGGGTCCGTCGACTATCATTTCGTTCAACGTTAACTTGTCGAATATTCTGTTGTACAGCAACATGTGGGGACGGCAGCATATTTTGACTGATTCGCTCAAGCGTGCTGGAAATCTGTCGCTGTTCCATTGACATACGCAACAGCGACCTTTCTAATTCAGTCATCCGCGCGTTATTCGAAATGTCGCGAATGTTCTGTCGGATCGCCCCGACTTGTTCTGCCGCGTGCGATATCGAGCGGGCAACGTACACGTCCTCGACGTATGGCGCGCCTAGCTGTCCGCTTGCGCGCGTAATTTCCCCCAGTTGTTCGACATCAGATTCGTTGTCTAATGTGTGTAGCGCCAGGTTCACCGGATGTTCCTCCGGTTAAGGCGCTACGCCGGACGGCTAATTGTTCGCGTCGATTTCTTCTTCGCTGACACGGTCTGTGTAGTTGTCGTTTACCTCCACTTCGGATTCGCGGACCGGAATTCGCTATCGAGCGGCGTAAAATTTCGGTAGCTGGATTCCTCCTTTCGCTACGTAGATTTTCTTTTAGCATAATTAGCATGTTGGGTTTCGTCGCGTAGCATGGTAGCTGTCTAAAAGCGTATTCGCGACGTAGTTCAGCGCAATTCATTTGTGCTAATGATTTCCCCGACATATTGACCGTGAATATTATGTTTATTTACAAACCTTAATAATCAAATGTAGCTACGTTAATAGCCAAGATGAACAATATCTCCGTGTACGGTTAAATTTGCTACTGCAATAGAAAAACAAGCGTTATTAATATTGCTTGTTGTTATAAAGTACCGCGATAAGATGATATGTGGCCGCCGTTTAAGATATGGCGGCAGTCAGTGAACAATAATAATAGCGGTTACCTGGGAATCGGCCGCTTTGACGATGTCTGACGAAAATATACTATTTTTATCTACCAAAAGACTGAAACTATCGGCCGGAAATCACAGTTAAATACATTAAAAATTTTTTTTTAAAATACTTTATTATGGAAAAAAAAATTTCGGACTTTATTTTATCTTCATGGTGAAAACAGACATCAAAGTTATTAAAAAAAATACGATTTTTGTTAAAAAATTCTTTTTTTATATTTTTAACTTGAATATACTATAATCTAACTATAATGTTATAACTTACTGAAAAGTGTATGGATCAACACAATTATTTTATGAGAAATAATATTTATATCCCTTTTTCATTCGACATACTTTATCTTAATCAGGATATTAATAAGGAATTAGCAGATCATGTAGCTTCTGGATTAATCCACCGATTTTTTTTAAATTAAACACTATCTACAGATTTGCATCGAAGCGTTTTTTATGATAGTTATTTTAATTACTGTCAGATATCATATATACTGGATCTATATCGAAAATATTTCTGGGTTAAAAAATTAAGAGTATGCATAAACGCAAATACATAATTCACCAGAGTTTAATGGAGTTCATCGACTATGATTTACACAAAAGACTCATGGATGAACTTTTCGTCGCGCCCATGTGCAGCTACCCCAGGTAGTCTCTAGTGTAGACACAATACTGGTAGGAAACTTTTATCAGAATAAATGGTAAAAAAGAGTGATTTGAAGTTCACTCAACTCTTTGTATTTTTATACTATTTAATTGAAAAGTTTCGTACTTACCAGAATAAAGGAAGACTGGCAACATTTCATACATTATTAATTATATTATTGAGTTGTATACAAATTCAGTCGAAGTTTTGTTTATGAATAGAATGAAAAAGTTAATTATTAAGACGTTGTACGGATAAAGGATTACAAATAAGATGTATTATACAATAACTAAAATTTACATTAGTTTAAAATCCGGTTGTTTATCATTCAAAATTACTTTTTTTTTGATCTCAATGATGTTGCATAAAAATATATAGTATATTACCAATTTCGCTTTCGAATGTTACCCTTAAAAACTACCTTAAAAAAATTTTTTTTTCTTGCAATTATATTTTTCTTTATTTTGATTCTTATAAATAAATAAAGCTTTAATCGGTACATTTTTTTCTAAAATCTTTATCATGCAATAATAAAGATTTAAGAATTTTTTACAAATCACAGTTAAATACATTAAAGAATTTCAAGTTTGATATGAATAAGTATAATAAATGGAATTTATCTAATATTTATGATGTCAATATAATTTTATAAAACTATCTTACAAAAGTGGATATAATTATAGTTTAGAAATTAGTTTTATTTGTGACAATATACTCGTTCTTAATAATTTAAAAAAATAAAAATAATTTTTTTGTAAATAACGTCTGCTTAAAAACCAGAACGTAAAATGATACTTTTGTTTCAAAATAATGTTACTTATAAAAATGTACGTGGCATTATTATTTAATAAACAGTACAGTCGATACTTAAATAATCATTTATAGTTCATTAAAATTTCAAAACTTTCTTAAATTGAAACATAATTTTAAGTAATTAAAAAGCAGTTTAAAGTTATTAAAAATTGTAAGTATGTTCGCAAAGAAGCAAAAACTTTAATTTTTCAAAATGACTATAAAAAATTTGAACGTTATTGACAGTAGTTATTGACTTATTATTATAATTTTTAGTAGTTTAACATTAATAAATAATAATGTATTGTGGTGTAGAAATAACTAACTTATTAATCCTGAACAAAATTTAAAAAAACTGCTAAACCTGAATTCCCTTTTATCTATCAATTTTTAAATGCGCAATGTTTTTTTAATCAAATTAGATCACATTAGATCTATAAAATATTTCACATTAATTTTTTTTATTATTTACGTATTCATAGAATATGTTACTATTATACTTTTTATTAATATTTTTTAATAGTAAAAAAGTTTTTTTAGCTTCGATGAAAAGCTGAGAAGGTGTTAATTTTACCATGAAGCATGTGGCAATGATTTTTTTGAAATTTTTCCTTAAGTCTTTTTGAGTTAGATTTTTGCTTTAGAATAATCTTCCAATTTATTGAAATTATGAAAAGATAGCGTTTTCTTCTGTCCTTTTCTCAATACGTATTTCAATGTTTAATACCGTAAAATAATACATGAAAATTCAAATTTTCACAAACTTCAAAACGATACAGAATATTTACTACTCAATATTAATAAGATATTTTTTTACTAAAATTTTTCTTAAATTCTACTCTACAAAATAGCTATCTTAGATTTTTTTTTTACATTTTATTTAAAATTTAAAAATAATTAATATTTTTAATAAAATGTAAAAAAATTAATTATTGAGATATAGCTATAGACCTAACGTATAACTATTATTTAAAAAAAAAATCAGCTAAAAATATTAACTGGATCAAAAGTTATTTAAGTTGTCAGTGAGTGGTGGGCTTCCCTGTATATAAAAGTGTCAGTATTTCCGGAACACTTTTAAAAATTAAGTTGAAATAGTTCTATAGAAAGTAAAAATATATACATTTTTATATTTTGAACGTCTCCTGTATTAAGGGATATGGTACAATTTAAAAAAAAAGTATGTCGAATGAAAGAAGTATATAAATATTATTTCTCATAAAAAAATTGTATTGATACATACTTTTTTCAAATATTTATAGCGTTATAAAGTTAAAAATATAAAAAAGAATTTTTTTACAAAAATCGTATTTTTTTTATTAACTTTGATGTCTGTTTTCACCATGGAGATAAAATAAAGTCCGAAATTTTTTTTTCCATAGTAAAGTATATTACATTAGATTTAATTTAAGATATATATAAATGTGTCAGTATTTCTGAAACACTTTCAAAATTTAAGTTGAAAAAGTTAATTTTTTGTGAAAAAGTTGTCTTTTTAAATCCCCCCTTGTGGGCAAGTAAAGGGTCAAATTTATAAAAAAAATACATCAATTGGTAGTTAAAGACATTATGCATCTAAAAAAAAAAATTATATTGATTTGTTCATTTTTGAAAAAGTTATGGCAGTTTTAAGTAAAAAAAATTGAAAAAATTTCAAAAATTAGTGATTTTTAAATTGGTAATTTTTTTGGAGGTTTCCCCCTTTTATGGGGAATGAGGGAAAATTTTTCAATTTTTGAGGGTAATGCCTTCGAATAAATATGATTTGTGATCTTTTGACGTATCGTTGAAAGAAATCGATTCTGTGAGAGCTGAGACAAAGTGGTAACAGACAAAAAAAAAAAACACATAATAGTAAAATTAATATTTTCTCAGCTTCGCATCGAAGCTAAAGTAAACTATTCAGTTGTATAAAAAGAATTCGAATAGTTATTCGATAGTTTTAAATAACTATCAAATACTATTCAATAGTTTAAAATATTTGAAAACGCTAGTAAAAATAAATATAAAAAATTTTTTGTTTTTGATTGGATTATTGATTGTTATCCATCATTGTGTGTTTAGAATAATTTCCATATTGTTATCTATAATCTTTGACGACTTGTAGTAGAAATCGTTTTTGTTTTCATCATGAGTTAATGTTTCATTGTAATTTTGCATAAGTTTTACGCCTCTCTCTGCTATGTCGTTTTTCACAAGACGATTAGATAAAACTTTCAAACCATTTTGAAAATCAGGATTTTTAACACAGCTATGATGACGATTTTCCATAAAATCTATTGGTATATTGAACCTTTTAAACTAATTTAACGATTCTGGCGATACAAAGTCATCAAGTTATTTTTTTTTAAATAGTTTAGTATCATGTAGGTTTATTGTAATTTTTTAGCTTCGATGCGAAGCGGAGAAGGTATTAATTTTACTATGATGTGTTTTTTTTTTTTTTTTTTTTTTTTTTT